TATTCGAATGCCTCTATAACAGATTATTAACACCTATATGTCTTACTGGATCAATCTTATAACTGTGTTGATGAGAACAAGTTATCAATAATCATAAATATACAGTGTACAAAGTGCTAGATGAACTTCACCACTGAACCTCTAGTCCTGCATGCTGCTTTGCAGGAACTTCACTTCTTGAGTAACAAAAATGACAATAATAATATTAATCATAGAAAGAAAAAAATAATGATTATAATAATGATCATAGCCTAATAATAATGATAGTAATCGAAATAATAACATTAATGACAACAATAATTTAGAATAGTTCTTATATATGCCGCGTAGAGATATTAAGCAGAACAAATTATTAATGAAAAGCTAACGGGAAAATTGCATGACTACTAAGCCTATAATACAAAAAGATGAAGGCAATTAAATGAATATATTTTTATAACTATAGCAGTTTCTTGAACTTGAAGCAGGGATGTTCGGTCGCTGAATAGCTATCGGACATGGTAATTGATACAAAGCGATCATTACTTATTAGGCGTGCAGAAGGCTAATCCGGGTATGAATCCAATAGTCATATCAAACGTCCTAAATCATCCCAAGTCGGGTATTTCACAAATTCTCAACATCTCAGCAAAATCATTTATATCATCATTAGTGCATTGGCATGCAGATTCATATCAAAACCGCATTATTCTCTATGTCGAACTAAGGCTTGTTCAATTCTGGCTGAAATACATTTATAAAATATTTTTCTTTAACTTTATAAAAAGGTATGACATCAAATTCTGGATTTGTTCCTTTTACACATTTTGATTTAGGCCTATATGCGTTTACTCACATTTAGGAATTAATATTGTTTATCTCTTATGTGTTGACGATGGGTTGTCAATCTCCTGTCTCTCCGATATATTGTTTTCCACAATCATTACAATTTAGACAATAAAGCAATTTCTCGATGTGCATGAAAATATATGTTTTAATTCTAACGGTTTTTTATTTTTCATGACTGTTAAAAATAATTGTATAAGAGTTGGACATGTTATATGGGTAGGGTTAACGTTTTACACAGCTTATCGAAGATCCCCCTTGAGGTCAACAGCAAAAAGAGGGAACAAGCATTATGCGTACCCTAAATGGGGGCCGGGGTCAACAGTTTCTAAATTCGGCGCCTGCCTCCTACTTAACACAAATGTTGTTTTCCTAAATATGTTTTAAGAGAATCTTTAGTTAAAAGGGGGAACGTTTGTTTGATATTGTTTGAAAAATCCCCATTATTTGGATTGTATGTATAGATTCATAAACTATATTTTCTTCTTAATTTGTTTTTTGTTTTGGTTGTCTCAAAACATTTTGTTCTATATTGCGTGCCTTTTGTATATACACTGATAAGTTTTTTTTCCGGAGATTTCCGAAGCGTGAGCATGATTCTCTCACTTCTTTATTATTCGATACAATAATTATTGTACAAAATCTTGTTGCTAGATTATATGGTATATTTCTTTTTGTGTGGCGTGGATGACAGGAGTCAAAATGAAAATACTGACGTGTGCAGTTACTTTCATATGATCATATCCACCTCCAAGTTTCCATTTATGTTCATTACATTTTTATTCAGAAACGGTATCTTCTCTCCTGATGACACCTCCATTTTGAATGAAATATTTTGCAAATTTTGCAGGATATCTTGCAAGGTCAGTGGTGTACGCAGGATTTTTTTCAAGGGGGGTTTTAAAATCAAAGGGGGGGGGGGGGGGTTCCAAAAAAACATACATAAAACATACACATAAAAAAAACTCGAGGGGGGGGGGGGTTAACCCCAAAACCACCCCCCCCCCCCTGCGTACGCGCCTGTGCAAGGTTATACAATTTTGTTGGAAATTTTGAAAATTGAGTGCAGGGGTGGATCTAGGGGGATTTTTGTGGTTTAACCCCCCCCCCCCATCCCCCTCCCCTCTTTAGCGGTCAAGTGAAAAAAGGAAGGGGGGGGGAAGAAGAAAAAGAAGGGAAAAAAAGTAATACGCCGCGATTTTTGGAAAATCCTGGATCCGCCGCTAGGTCAAACCCCCCCCCCCCCCCCCTCCCCCTTGGTAAAAAGCTAGATCCGCCCCTGCAGTCAGTGGATAGTGATTTTATTTTTTTTTACAATTTCGATAAGTTTGATGCCTCTGTATATGTATTATAAGCACGAGAAAATTTACCCCCTAAAACACTTTTGCTTTCGAGTCGGAAAAATTGAATATAAAAATTACCGGTGCTCCCGGTAAATTTTGATGAATTTCAAAGAGCGCTTACGGCCATACTCTTTTTTCAATACTATTATTTACTATAAAACAACTAATCATCGAGGTATCTAAGCCCAGTGTTTCTCCACACATAATCTGGCTTTTGTTTAAAATGAGTTCTTCTACTTTGTTGGAAAAGTTGTTTTTTCTAGATAACCGAGGAACATATTTGCATATGATTGGGCCATTTTTGTTCCCATTGCAGCTGTTCCTTTGATTTGTGTGTTTATAAAGTGTAACATTAAATTGAAGGATATTATTACGCAGCATCAATGCAATGGCCTCTAGAACAAACTCTGTGGTTATTCTAGCTTTCAACTCTTGAGGATTATGTTTCCAATCAATATAAAATAGAATCTAATCCAACTTCATGATCAATATTACTATAAAGACTGTTGACATCAAACGTAACCAAAACACTTTCATCGTCTATTATGTTCAGGTAGATGATTCAGGAAATCTACACTATCTCGGATATATGTATGTATAGTATCTCTTCTTTCTTTCATGCATTTCTCTTTGTATCTTTCATCTCTCTCTCTCTCTCTCTCTCTCTCTCTCTCTCTCTCTCTCTCTCTCTCTCATTCCTCCACTATATTCCGGTCATTTCTGTCCAGGTACGGATCTCCACCAATTTCTGCGTGCACCTCTCCCCTATTTCTCTTCCTTCTCATTCTCTCTATAATAATATTATTAATGGGTTCTCTCTCTCTCTCTCTCTCTCTCTCCCTCCCTCCCTCCCTCTCTCTCTCCCTCCCTCCCTCCCTCTCTCTCTCCCTCCCCCTCTCTCTCTCTCTCTCTCTCCCTCCCTCTCTCTCTCCCTCCCCCTCTCTCTCTCTCTCCTTACCCCCGCCCCTCTCCCTTTCTCAGTTTTGAAATATAAAAGATTTTAAAACACTTACAAATTAATAAGTTTACAAATACAGATAATGTACATATACTGTACATCCTTAAAACAAACCTTGTACATGAAAACACACAAACCAACGATATCGAGCAATAAAAACAATGCAATTTTATTCATTTAATCATTATAATGCATATAATGCACAAAATAAGATCTTATTTACACATCGTTCTCATGTAAAATAATTATGAGTTCAATTTACACATGTATGCGGGTGTAATCACAGGGACAGTATTTACAATTTTTACCAGACCACTAATATATATCTCTTTAACCGATAACATATATATACCGCACACCTCGCTTTATAAAATATTGTGCAAATTATTATTATTACACAATTCTACAACGTATTTCATCTACGTCATACACACATTCATACATGTAAATGCTGAATACTTCAACTCAGCAACATAAAATCATGTATCCATGGTTGAACCAAGAATTCATGAGCAGGTCTTGTGTTTTTTCTACTAAAATACATGGAATCATTCATTCCAATGCCAATGCTTATTATAAATCACAAATCCTTTGCTTCAAGTTAGATTGCACTACATATATGACATTCCTTTTCATAGATTAAAATTATTAAATGTATAATAAAAGCATGAACTACATGGTTAATAAATTCTACAATAAAACATATTTGTACATATATCATTTCAGTGGCATCCTTTGCTTATCAATTAAATACGATCCCAAGTGCTAGTTAGTATACCATCAAACACCTTATTATACATGAACAAGTTCAAGTTCTCTTTCCTGAAACCCACAATTTAAGGTTGATGTGACATATTCTTTAAAATTTACAAATTAAAGATCATGATTATATAATATAAATATATGTTGAATATGTCTGAAATTCTCACAGATCCTCCCTACAAATAATTAAACCATTCTGCCAATTAAACTTCTACTAATGTGAATTCTTCAATAGAAAATGACAAATATGAGAGTTTTAAAGGCATTGTTTAACAATGCTAAATCTGAGATACATGGCCCTACGTGTTATCAGCGTCTGTGGTATGGTGTAATATTGAAACCTTAGAAAAACTTGCGCTTAAAAATTATCATGAAGTGCCTCAAAAAAGTAAAAATCTTTGAGTGATCAGTTTTACCATACTCATTCTCCCCAATTGACTGCAGTGTTATAAAAATTGTTAGGAAAACACAAAATATGATTTCGATTTCCAATCATAAATATCTTGAATCTTAGACAAAGATAACCACTCACTTTAAAGGGATCCGGTAACTTTGTCTCAGATTCTGAAATAAAATTCTGGATTTAGCTCATGATGCAATGATAATTATAAACCTTAAGGTCAGTCAGGAGCCCCATGACTTTTACAAGCCGATCGCCTGTCTGATTATCAAGATATTTATGATTGGAATTACAAATTTTGAAAACCGTTCGCCTGACGGTTTTCATAACACTACAGTCTATTGGGGAAAACGAGTATGGTAAAACCGGTCACTCAAAGATTTTTGCTTTTTTGAGGCACTTCTTGATCATTTTGAAGCGCAATTTTTTTAGGGCTTCAATATTACACCATATCACAGACACTGATAACACGTAGGGCTGTGTATCTCAGATTTAACATTGTTAAACGATCCCTTTAAGAAATAACTGATCATTATATGGACTGCTATAGTGATAATCAAACTAATAATCAAAAAGAGTAATCCCTTCTCTAACAACATGACAAAATAATAAGCCAGTTCGTAGATTCATTCTGTGCATGGGCAAATAAAGATCATTTGTATCAAAATTGGAAAACCCATTTAGACAAATACTCGAATTATGCTTGTGAAAGTTCCATGTATACATGTATGTATTCATCATTCATTATTCACTGACAGCCCATTCTCCGGTACACAGGTGAAAGTATTCATCTCAAGAGAGCAAACAAAAGGCATACATAAAGCACATCCATGACTTCGGAGTGATCATTCTAAAATGCACAATGTGGGACATCTCCATGTGTAAAAGATCGGGAGATATTTGTACCAGAACTTAATTACTACGATCCGGTCCATTCTTTGTCACCTTTTACGTCTATTGTGTCCAATACTGGCATCTTGTCCACACCTTTCTATGCTTAATTACATGCACAATAGCATATAAAATAATTTTTACAGTCACACAATTAAGAAAATACCCTGTGTAATGTCCTTCTTTCCAAAATAAAGGTTAAGATTATTTACACTATTTTGTGCATTTAAACAATGGACTAGATATAATTACTCACTCTACTGTTTCGCTTTGATGAATTTCTTTCACAATGTCTCATTATCCATGCAAACATCCCAAAGCTTTGCAAATTTGCTGCTTCTAATGGGAATTGCAATTAAAACAATATCAAATACATTTATTAATCATACAAATAATGCAACAATAACATGATTGATCTCAGTTGTAAACATCCTATGCCTTAACTTAAATAAATGGCATATAAAGAAAATTAGGAAAAGAAATAAACAGCCAATGAGTTGATATTCACTAATTTTGAATACTTTTTTCTTCTTCTGTATCTCCACAATATTCAATTTCTCTTGGTTTCTTTATCAAAAAGAACATGAATTGGATTATATGTAAAATTATAATATTGTACTTATCACAGGCTTCTCAGGCGAATTTCTTTTTTTAAACCTTGGTCCAAGCTATAATAAATATGGGTTTGGGGCATCCCACAGGGTGCTTTGATAGGACCATTACAATTTTGGAGGTTGAAAGTACATGTAAGATTGACATTACTATAACCCTTGTTAGTACCCCTGTCAGGAGAATTTTCCTAGGGCAATTTTTCCCCTTGGAATTTTCCTTTTGCATTCCCCCCCCCCCCCCTAAATTTTAGCACTGGAGAGAACTCTGCAATAATTATACTGTCATTATGTGATGAGTATTAGGTCATCCTTCAGTACATATATCAATTGGCATGTGATGCCACTGGTGTAGATAGTGGGTAAAGTGTATCTACAACTGTATACATTAGGATTGTTCATGTGAGGGAAGTGTGTTCACACAAGACTGACACGTTACTGAGCAAACCCAAATTTCATAGAAATATTCAATAGATCTAAACATCAACTGCTTCCATTACTAGTATTGTATGCCTTATAAGATCACTTAGAAACCCCATGAGCATTACAAAAATATTTATCCTGAAAATGCCAATAGTAGTGCAGGCAAAAATATACTTTGAAGAAATTGCATAAGCACGTATATATGTACATCAATGAACCAATTTATTGTAATAAATGTAATATTCATAGATATGCAATAGGGCGTAAAGCTTGATTTAGTAAGATTCTCACTACTCAGCATACTGTTGTCTACTCTTGTGCCTTTTCCTAAACACATTGCAAAATTTGGATTATCATTTCAATATTCCCCAAGCCAGGGTAATAATTGTGGAGCGCCAGGAGTGTCAAGTCTATAAGCGCTATACAAGAACTCACCATTATTTTTATCATTATCATGAGACATTTCGCATTATTTTATTTCAAAGTTCCATGAAAGTAAATCATAAAGCAACTGAAGAGCATGTTTTTCATTTAGTTATTTTTTTTATTTTTTGTTCTAACCGAACTTACTTCAGCATCATGTACCGGTAACTAGTTTGAGTTGTGTAAAACTCAGAAACAAGGGGTAAATCTATTAGCATAACTACCAAAACTGAAATCAGACCAGCTTAAGAAGGAAAAAAATACATTTCATTAACAATTTTTGGTTAACTACATGTATGCACCATTAACAGCATTCTAGATTTAATGTGGTATAGTGGTTCATACTCTTGAATCTCAATTATAAGGTCCTGGATTCAATCCCCATCCTTGTGCTCATGCCCTTTAACGAGGCTTTTCATCTACAAATGCCTGTCTCATCCCGGGTGTAATAAACCCTACAACATTGCTGCATGTGGGCATTACTGAATATGTGATATACAGGGTGTACATAGATGTATATCTATGTATTTTCCAAGCAAAAAATATATATATCATCATTATTATACATAATGACGACAACGACATGTACATATGATTTTAAATTTACAGAGAAGTAGTTACAAACTGTTACATAATATACGAATATTATGCAATTGGCAAATAATTAAGGAAATTTCATTTCAATAATTGTCCATTCGGCTTCTCATACTGCAACTGAATGTCCATTCCTAATACTGAAATGGAATAGTCCATGTGTCCGAAGCCTATAAACATTCAGAACCTCGGAAGTAATATATATTGAGGCAAAATACTGAGTGTTTCCAGACAGTATGAAGCAAACAGAGTTAAACCTGTTTAAAGTGGACAAATCTTCATAGCAGCCACACGTATAGATTGGCGACCTCTATATCAGTGATCACCTCTTTACAAAGGTCACTTGTCTACAGTGGTCAACTCTCTATGAAAGCCACCTTTCTCCAAGTGGACACCGATATTTTGTCCATCTAAAAAGATATTACAATCTGTTAAAGAAAGGCGACCTGTCTAAAATGGCCACTTTTCCTTTTATCCCTTAGGTGGCCCTTATAGACAGGTTTAACTGCGTTCTGCACTCAGCTCAAAGCAATCGATCGTGATTGGGATGTTTGGCATGAGCAGAACAACAACTAAAGTCCCAATACTTGGTAGGTGGAACGGCGTCATTGAGGCGATGGTACTTGTCTTTAGTTGTGTTGCGTGGACAGTATCATGGCTCGTTTGAGTTGTTCGTAGCATACAAACATCACGATATTCCAAGAACCAAGTCGCAAAAATTGTGGCGTGAATCTGAAAAGAAAATTAGAATAAGAATAATTATGTGAATATTTGTTAAATTTAAAAGTGTTAAAAAGGATTAAATTCATGAGAGTACTCGAAAAGTAGGATAAATAGTGATCATGACAACCCAAATGAAACCATCATTTTAGAAATCAATTACGTGTCAGACATATTCATTTGGAATCCACTTATTGAATATTTCTTTGATTAAACAAGCTTGATTTGCTGAATCATCATTTTTTTTATGTTTGACAGCTGTTTACAGGGGAAGGAATATGCATCAGATAAGAAGACAGAAAAAAATGTACACACGTGCGGAAATGTGAAATTTTTGTCTAAAATATTCACAAAATCGCGGCGCTCTATAATTCCCACAGAGTGCCGCTGTTGAAAGGAGGTGCTTATAGGTGGCACACAACAAAACAAATTTGATAGCTCAGTTCATCAGTCCGGTCAAGGAATGAATGAACAATTCAATATTCTTACCCTTTATAGAAAGCTAAGAGACCCTCTTTCTGAAACATCTGAGTAGCACATTCTGTGGCTCCACGATACTGACCAGGGCTAGAATTCATGAACCTCGTCTTCACAACGTCCACGGGGGTTGCGACGCACGTTGTGACAAACCCCGCACCGAACGCCGCAATGAAATGACATGGGAACTCGTCTTTGAGGTATCTGCGTTTAAGGATAGCCTCCTTTATGAGATCATAGGCCACGACTTCACTGGCGTTGACGACAGAGTTTCGGACAATGTTGGGCATCGTTCCTAAAAATGTGATAGACATCGATTAAATTTAGGTGTACTCAGAAGCTTAACTGAAGAAAAAAATTTAGAAAACATTGTTGATTTAAAATATTCATGTACATGTACATGTATGTTCAATATAATACACACATATTTAATGCCTATGATTTTAAAGAGGACATCTTCGTTCATCTTCGTTATACAGGTATGTAATGTCAATTAGTTTTACTTACAATGTAGGTGTAATTATAGGTGTATTGTTTAACTTTCCCATAAATATTTTTTGTCATTTGCTTTATTTTGTTTTTTATTGTTGTATTAATGTTGTTTATATATTCAAATTTGTTATGATTGTAAAGCGCATAGAGAAATTTTCAATTCATTATGCGCTTCATAAATATTCTCTATTATTATTATTATTGTTACCTGTCTTAAATTCAAACAATTACACAAATTTCTCTATAGTGTAGCCATGTAACTCCATAGAATTTTTTTCATCAATTCTTCAGGTAATAATTGTTTTGGGTGTTTTATGTTTTGCTATGTTCTAATTTGTAGAAGTAGTAGAGCACTTAGTAGTTTACATTCTATCAAAGACTTGTTGACATGACCAGCATTTTCTCTCATTTACCTGTAGTAGGCTTACTATTATTTGATGTTTGATGATAATTGTTTTACCAGACTGCTAAGAAATCATTTATGCTTGTGAGTATATAACCAGGGGACAGACGGCTTTAGTTCCCTCCAAGGGACTTGGTAATGAGGAATAATGCCTTACCGAATGACACGAGCGCAATGACTTAGTTTCAAACCCTGGACCTCCCGGTTACGAAACCACTGAGCCATCGCGCCTCCTCAAAGTGATGTACATCAAATACACAAACCTCATGAAGTTCAGTTTGAATATAGGTTGTAACATGAGAAGCTCAACCAACGATTGCTCTGCATTTGATTTCTAACCGTAGCAGTATTCAGAGCTTCAACCCTGGACCCTACCTTAGTTTCAACATTATCAACCTAGAAGGAGCATATTCTTTACCCGGATTAAAGGGAAATCCACCCTGATATTAAGTTGCTTGTCATAAAAGCAGAAAAATGAAAGAAACAAATTAGTGAAAGTTTCAGCAACATCTGATTCAAAATTTATGAATCTTTGAAGTTGTCATCAGTGAAACCAAAATTGGCAACAGTATGACGTATCTTACCTGCTCCTCTCCAATTTGCTCTGTACAGAAAATTTCTTAAACTTTCATTTTCCCCATACAAAAGCATATTTGCAATAAGTATATTTAAGGTAAATGTATGATTGAAAGTGTTCTTATAAAATGGAAAATACAATTTTTTTGAAGGTTTTTAGTGCAGTGCAAATGGTAGGAAACCTTGTAAGATACGTTACAGAGTCGCCAATTCGTGTTTCATCTTCAAAAATACATAGCTTTTGTATTTTTATTTAGTTTTCGCTTAAACTTTCACTGACCCGTTCCTCCTATTTTCTACTGAGTCCTATCAGAGTGGACTTCCCCTTCAAGGGGTGTATTTCTGACCCTTCAAGGGTGTATTTCTGACCCTTCAAGGGGTGTATTTCTGACCCTTCAAGGGGTGTATTTCTGACCCTTCAAGGGGTGTATTTCTGACCCTTCAAGTGGTGTATTTCAGACCCTTCAAGGGGTGTATTTCTGACCCTTCAAGGGGTGTATTTCTGACCCTTGTAACTAACCTTTCCAGAGCCCTCTAACTCCCTCTTCCTTCGCGATGGTCTGATAGGCGTTTAAAGCACCGGTGTACCTCTTGGGGGCGCCATTTAGAACCGCATTACCCTGCGCCTGGAGACGAATCTTGACCACGTCCGTGGGTTGGGCAGTGAGAACAGCGCAGGCTCCGGTTGTGATACCCGCACTGATTCTCGTAAAGATGTTAACACCACCATATTCTATAGAAGAAATTCAAAAGATAAAGGATATAAAGATAAAATTGATGTATCTTGAAATGCACATGTTCACTCTAGTACAAATAAAATGTTATTTCCAGGCTCTACATGAATAAAGTCCATGATATCAAACCTTAATTGTTTTCTCAAATTTTGTATCGACTATTGAGGAATATTGCATCGCATATTAGATTGTTTTCAGAACGTTTTTCAACACTTCATCTCATATTGCATTATTCATGTACATAAACATCAAAACTAATCCCATGTACAGTATATGCAAATCTAAAGTGTATACAGTCATGGCACACCTCTACAACATACACATGGCACTTGAATATAATTCAGTGCAACCTGGTTATAAAGACCACCCAAGGGAGACAAGAACAGGCAGATGGTCTTTATGTGCAGGTTCCTTTAAGACATGTTTCAATGAGACACCATTTTCAAGGGAAACCAAGAATGTGGTCTCTGTAGACAGGTGGTCTTTCTATACAGGTGGTCGCTAAAGCAGGTTTGTCTGTATATGTACCATTTCTAAGTACACATGTACTTGTACTGGCATAGTTAGCTTTCCTGTTCGTTGCTGTAGTTCATTGAGATGGGTGTATCTATAGAGTGGTGAAGTGTGATGTCATCAAAAATCTATTTTTGCTCCGGTTCATAACATTACGAACCAGAGCAAAATAACACTGAGTCCCTATAGGAAATCTATTTATTCAGATGGTCATATCTCAGCCAATACTTAAACAAATTCAATTGGTTTTCGACATTTGGACATTATTTTTCAGAAAATGAAGAAAAAATTGAGAAATTCTAAAAATAGATTTTTATGATGTCACAGCTTCGGTACTCTAGAACCTTTATCTCTACATGTAATTGTATTCTGTATGGAAACTAAACAGAATTGGTGTGTAATTTCAAACTGGGTTGGGTTGGGTTCTGCTCAAATTGCCTTCAGCCACAAACATGGACATATAAATGTTTTCAATTAAGAATACATGGTTGCTCTCTTTTCTTCCGCAGGCTGTTGTTTTGACGAAAAAAATCAATGAAGATTGGCAAAAGCCTGGTAGTCCGGCAGCCAAACCCGGATTTGGGGCCTAACCTTGTTTTGGTGAAATAAGTTTTTTTTTAAATGGATTCTGATTGTCTAGATATCCACTGTGAACAAGCAAAAAACTGGAGCTCTGTCAGCCTTGAGCAATTTGAGATATAAGCAAAAACAAAATGGCCGCCAAAATGGCGTTTTTTGCTCTAAAAATTGTGAAAATGTATACTTTGTCATGTTTTATTGCTGCATTTAGAACCCTTTTCTGATTTTATTTACCAGATATGATATATTTGATACATATTTTGATAATTCTTAATATTATTTTAGATGGCAGAGCAATTTATGCACTATTTATACAGGGTGATTCATAAAAAAAGCGTAGACTTTAAGAGATTGGCTGTTTGCGATTTCTTTGTCATGTTTTATTGCTGCATTTAGAACCCTTTTCTGATTTTCTTTACCAGATATGATATATATGATACATATTTTGATAATTATTAATATTACTTTAGATGGCAGAGCAATTTATACATTATTTATACAGGGTGATTCATAAAAAAAGTGTACAAGAGATTGGCTGTTTGCGATATCTACTTCGATAACAAGCCATCGATGTATACACACTCTGGCAACATATTTTGTGATGTATATAAGCTGCATTTTAATTGAAGCTAATTGATGTAGCCTATCATCATATCGCCTTTAGTAATTTGTGATTATAAGGAAAAGCAAAATGGCCGCCAAAATGGCGTTTTCTGCTCTAAGAATATGTGAAAATGTATACTTTGTCATATTTTATTGCTGCATTAAGAACCTTTTTCTGATTTTGTTTTACCAGATATGATATATATATATATATGATATATATTTTGATAATTCTAAACGTGGTTTTAGATTGCAGAGCAATTTATACATTTATACAGGGTGATTCATAAAAAAGTGTACATTTCTACTTCGATAACAAGCAATCAATGTATACACATATACACTGCATTTTAATTAAAGCTAATTCATGTAGCCTATCATCTCAAAGCACATGTAATTGTAGAGATACCCTGTTGAACATACATACATATATGATGAACTGCTACGATTCAAGAAGTCTGCAGTCTGCTGTAGAGGCAGGGGAAAACACTGAACTGACAGCATTATCAAGTGCTGAAGATGGTCTTGTTCAGATCGTAGTTGACAACTTTAATGCAGATGTTTCATCTCAGAACGGTAAATTGTCAACACATTCCCTTGCAGTTCTCATGACCCAGCCAGATACAAGCATGCACCATGATGATCAGCAAGAGATTTCACAACTGAAGAAGGCTGAGATGTCTAGAGATGTTGACTACAAGCTTGACATCATGAGATACAATGGTCCAAGGAAAGCAGATATGCCACCTGTCAAGAACCAAGTTCCACCACTTAGTGTTCTCGCTCATATGGTTTCTCGACAGAGACCTAATGGGTGTGACCTCAGGCTCTTGACAGATGTTGTGCAGCGTGATAACTGTCCTGAATTCAATGGATATAATACGCATTTGTGTCGCAATCAAGGAGAAGCCACACAACCCCAAACTAAAGCATTGTTTCATTGATTGATATGCCACCAGCACATCCAGACACAACAATGACAGCCATGAGCAAATCTCAGCAGTTAAACAGAGAAAACTGGTCAATGTTTCACTGTCTTCACCCGCAGATCAACAACTGTACAGGGTTGCAGTAGAGGTACACCCTGATCAAACTAGTACTGATAATGATGCTCTATATACGGGCTATACGAGAAGGTGATTGGCCACTACACCTGGAGACAGTGAAGCTTATGATGCCCAACTTCTTTGCGTTGGGACATCTAAACTATACGCGATATGGGTTATTCTACCTTCGACGCATGGAAGCCCTAAGGGTCTCATGTGATGAGACACACTCAAGGCTTATGGAATGCGGAATGGAGCGACATGTTCATCGAGACAACATTCATGCGATATTGGCATGGTAAAGCTGGTGTGATTGGCATCACCCTAAAGCAAGAAACTCTCAAGACCTGGGCCCTTAGCTTGCACATATGTATCAGACTTGTGGAAGACGTTTTAACTCTGAGAGACAAGTCGGCTAGTTCTAAAACAGTGCACAAAGAAGAGACTCCAGCAAGGATATCTGCAGACCAAGGTGACAGAGACTGGTTGCGCAGAAAACTGGATGTGAGCGTCAATCCAATGGACCCAAAGAAGCACCCAGCGAACATTGTCAATGTGGTCAATGGACAAATCGCTCCTGAATCAGTGAATGTGGACAGAGCAGTTGAAACTGGTGCTCAGCAAATGGATGAGTTTGAACGGAAATTGCCTGGAGGTTTCTACGACACAATTTCGAAGAAAGTTCAAACCATGGCTTTCATGAAGAAATAAATTGGCGTAGGCGATTCCAAGGTATACGATACCAAGTTGATATACTCTCGCGTGATAGGTCTACAAGCAAGTTCCAGAGATGTTGAATTTCATGATGTAATATCATGCGAGCTGTCGCCAGTTCTTACAGCTCTGTTTGATGAGTCTGGAGATATGGATATCCCGAAGTCCAAGGCCGATTTGAAGAACCAGAGACAAAGGTTGAAGTATCAGCTAGACACGCGAGACTTGAAGAAACGTGTAGAGTGATCGATGGCTGTGCTCTCCTTTGGATTCATCACCACCAACACGAGAACCAACAGTGGTGGACTTTGTATCGAAATTCAAAGGCAAGATTGAAGAGAGACTAAAATCCGGTGATGTGTATTTGGTCTTTGACAGGTACAATGATTACAGCACCAAGTGTGCAACCAGAATATCGAGAGGCAATGATGGGTGCAGAGTTTTCCAACTGAGTCCAACTTCACCTCTTCCGTCTCAGAAACTGACTCTGACAGTCACAGAGAACAAGAAACAGTTGATTAACATCATTTGTCATCATCTGCAAAGCGATGCAGGTTTCATCATAAAACACAAGCTTGTGGTCACCAACCAAGATGGCACTCCTGTTCAACTAGGTCCAGGTGGTGTTCCAATCCAACGTCATGATATGGCCACATCTCATGAGGAGGCTGATGTGATTATTGTGCAGCAGGCTATCATGCTTGCAGATGAAGGACGATCCATCAGGGTGCCTGCAGACGACACAGATTTCTATGCTCTTCTGCTTCATTTCTACCAAAATCAAGGCCTTCAGTCACCCTAGAAAATGGAGTCGCCCATTAGAGACAGATCTGTAATCGATATACATGCCACAGTGGACAGACACAGAGACATCATCCCTTCTATGCTAGTAGGTCACCCACTGACATGTTGTGATACTGTTGGTGCACATTTTGGAGTTGGCAAAGGAACTTTGCTAAAAGTGCTGCGGCAGAAAAATGGGTTCCCATTGCCATCGATTGGAGACATACATGCAGATATGGCCGATGTGATGATGCTATGGACAACCCAATGCTACGACACTGTCAAATGCCCGACTGAATGTGTGGACTAGACGGTTCGGGAAAGCAGGAGCTACCAACACTCCAAATCTTGCTGCAATGCCACCAACAACCGAAGCTTTCAAAGATAATGTTAAGCGTGCCCATCTTCAAACATGGATTTGGAAAAGTGCTTAATTGGAAATGAATCCATCAACATGGGATCCCACTGCATTTGGTTACATGAAAGACAAGGTAACAAAGTCACTCATCCCGGTAGCCACTCCTCCAAATGTGAAATTTGCACCTGCAAACATATACGTTGCAATTGTGCAAGTGACAACCCATGCAAATCAACAGGATGTGGATGCAAAAGCCAAATTAGCATGCACAATGTTCTGTGCGTGTCGTGCATCCGTGCGATGTCTAAATGTATATATTATCATTTTGGTGGTCATTTTGTTTTTTCCCATTATCTAAATTAGTCATTATTGACAAATGAGTATGACATAATTATTTGGTACACTTAGGTATTCTAGGAATTGAAAACATAAGATAAAAAGAAATGAGTATAATACTATTATACTGTGATTCTAAGCTTAACAGCTGGCATTTATCCGCCATTTTGAATATGCAAATTATCAACAATTACAATGGAAAATATGCTAATTATGTCATCTATGGTCATCTTTGTTCATGTATGGTGATCAGTAATGTGTTGACAATGGTCTTCGTGAATTATAAGCACACCATTCTGCCAATATTTTGTAAGGTATTATGAAATAATTCAAATTTGACTGAAAATAGGCTATTTTGGCGGCCATTTTGTTTTTGGCCATATCTTAAATTGCTCAACACTGACAAAGCTCCAGTTTTCTGTTTGGTCATCTGCAATGCCTAAGGAAACAGAATCCATCAAGAAAAAAACTTATTTCAACAAAACGAGGTGTAGCTCAGTGGCTGCCGGACTATGGTGACCCATGTTGTTTCCATAGCAACCTATGTGTTCTAGATATGAAGTGTATATCTAATCAATCATTCATAGCACTATATACACACCACAGTGTTATGCCATAAAGATAAATTGTACTGTACGTGATCTAATACACAGTACAGTACATGTTTGTATTTAACATAAAATATTTCCCAAAGATTTCAAGTCTCTCTTTCTTTCTTTTTTCTGTAAATGCGTATGAGTGCACATAATTCATCTGAAATTTGTACAAGGACCGTGTTGCTGGGAAAGAGAAAAAGAGAGAGAGAGAGAGAGAGAGAGAGAGAGAGAGAAAAAAGGCAGACAGAAAGAGGCCGGAAGACGGACAGAGACAGACAGAGAGAGAGAAAGAGAGAGAGAGAGAGAGAAGGAAAGATCAAGATAAGAAAGATAGCTAGATAGACACATACATGTTGATATACTGTACATGCAGGCTTACAGACTGAGAGTATGAGACAGGGAGATGCATGTACATGTATGAAGAAAGAGCAAGAAGGACAGAAAGGGAGAAGAAAAGGGAGAAATTAAAAAAGAGAGAAGGAAAGAAAAAAGAGAGAGACAGACAGAGAGGTAGAGAGACAGAGACAGAGAGGGAAAGAAGAAATTCAAGATTTAGGAAGATAGCTAGATAGATATTCATGTTGATTATATAGGCTTTCAGACCAAGAGAAATGAAGAAAGAGAAAGGGAGGAAAAAAGAGAGACAAATTGAAAAAGAGAGAGAAAGTGTAAAAAAATAGAAGGAAATAAAAGAGAGAGAAAGAGAGAGACAGGTAAGGGAGAGGAGGAGGTTAGTTCATGATTCAGGCATGCAGGGATATTGTGAAGGTACAAGCAACTATAAACAGGAAATCAACTGCCAGCAAAAATTATATCACCCTAAAACCTGCTGGGCAAAGATAGTTTCAAAAGCCATATTTTTTCTAATCTTACTGTATAATAGTGCAAAAGCCACTAGATAATGTAGCCCGGCTAAAATAAATTGCAGGTATATATGACATACCATGTTCAGGATATAGGCATGTTTTCCTACGGATATTTAAGTAAAGCTTAATCTTCGCATGGCACACCTTTGCAAACACATTTTTATAGATTACATAGACTTTACACCCCTTCAATTCTCATGCATACATGAAGAACAAAAGTAAGGGTGTGGTGTCGGAGAGTATAGTGGATCATAGGTCTCAAATGATTTTTACTATATTTACCCTATATTTTCAGAGTAAAAATAGACAATATATGTGCATATAAAAGACTATAGATACAAGTAGCGAATAGAATGTACAGTAGATATGAGGGGGGGGGGGGAGACTATAGATATATTGAGTAGAAAACACTATAGATAGCAGTAGTAAAGATTATAGATGAGAACTACAAATGGAGGTAGACAAATTATAGATACAAAGACCTGCAAGAGTAATATAATATATCTATACCATAACCTGATGAAAAAAAGACTATAGATGTGATAAGAAAATGATAGATATTGATTTCATAATACATGAAGAGCATAAGGTAAATAATTGTAGGTTCCACAGTGTAGATCTGTTTGGGTGATTGGACATCTACAGCCCACATGTAGCTACAAGTAGCATAATACCACAGATGTTTGTTATCGAAAAGCATGAAAACAAGCTATTAATAAGTCATACATGTACACATTTTAATCAATGCTCCAATTTTCAACAGACCTGCATAAATTGCTGTTACAATGTTGCAGACCTTACTTCATATGCAATATGTTTCCGTACATGCAGGTCTACATTAAAATATATATGGAAATTAAAAGCAAGATTATGTAGCAGTTGTTAGAAAGCAAGAAAAGTTCTACTTGCTCCCACTTTCAACAGACCTGCATAAATTGCTGTTATAATGTTGCAAACCTATTTTAGATGCAGAAGGTACGTGCAAGTCTAGATACAGTCAAACCTGTCTATAGCGACCGCCCACGGGAAACACAAAAAACAGGTCGTTGTAAGAGGTTCCTTTAGTACATGTTTAAATGAGAAACTATTTTCAAGGGAAACCAAAAATGTGGTCATTGTAGACAGGTTTGACTGTACCGTAATTAACATTGTATAAACCGCCCTCGTGTATTAACTGCACCCCTCTTTTTCGCCCCTGTCGGCAGCAAGCCAGGTCCGTGTTAAAAAACCCACGTGGGAAGGCCTTTCATATAACTGCGAGGTGCAGTTGAATGTGTAAGATCATTAATGTAAATTAAAAAACAGTAGAGGACCTAGGATAGAACCTTGTGGTACGCCGCGTGTAATAGAAGAAAAATTGGAGGATTTATTATTATAAACTACATATTGAGATCTATCAGAAAGATTACTTTCAAACCAAGATGACAGACAAATTTGAGTGTTGTTCTAGTTTCCGAGTGGTGAGTCAACACACCGATTACTGAGTTGGTAGACATTGCCAGGCATAGCGCCAGGTGGAGGGGCATAAATCAAAACTTTATTTTTTTTTTTTGGGGGGGGGGGGGTTTTCTTTAGTACCTGTGTGTTTAAGATGCACCCCCGACTTTTAATTTTCTTTGGCTGCAAAAAACTGCGGTTAATACAACGTTAATTACGGTATATGAAAATCAGAAGCAAGATTATGTAGCAGTTTTTAGTAAGCAAGTCAGAATCTAACCTATGCATGATCTTTCCTCAGACTTGCACAGATTTTTGACTACTTTGTAGACCTTCCTTTAATTCCAGAAAGTGGCAAGTCAATCTGTGCAGGGGGGTGTTTCACAAAGATCCCAAGTTGAACATATCTCTAAGTTGAACTTAAACATTATGGAGAGCCATTTGTAGCCTTGAAATAAAATATATTCAAATTAAACTTGAAGTATTTTAGACTTTTTATAAATTCCACATCAAGAACATGAAATCTCCCATGATAATAGAAAATATGAATGATTTGAATCAACATTTTATGCCTTTTAAAATAACTTTTACAAAATATTTTCAAAGATGCTGATGGCTTTCCATAACTGTTAAGTCCAACTTAGAGATAAGTTCAACTTAGGATCTTTGTGAAATACTACCCAAGTCTGATATAAACATGGGCGTAAATCCTTACGTAATACCTATTGTTCAGGGGGGGGGGTGAATAGATCATCCCCCCCCCTGAACAATAGGTATCAATTACAGATTTATGCCCATGGATATAATTATATGGAAATCTAAAGCTAGCCAGTTGTTAGAGTGCAAGGCAAATTCCAACCCACGCACCACTTTTTTGTGCACCTGCATAGAAGCCTTTGACAGAGTCGTAGAGACCGATGCGGACCGACGCAAAGCACATCTGGCGCTGGAGTCCCGGGATGAGACCGTTGTAGAGCCCCCGAGGGCCTTCTTGGCGGATGATCGTCCATATCGTGCCGAAGACGCCACGGTACCGGAAGCTCGCCCGTAGTTCTTTACCGGTCGTCTGTGTTGAGGATTTCTTTACGTCGGATCCACTCTCTCCTTGTATCTGGATGGTACAGGGAAAAAAAGGGCAAGTGGTTTTTGATGCAAAATACTCCTTCATGCAATCATTATAACCGTTTCCTTCAAAAAGACGGTAATAGGTAGGCAAGAGCCCAGCAATGTGGATAATTTTTCCTAGAAATGTAGACAAGTGCATGTGAGAGAGAGAGAGAGGGAGGATTGAGGAGTCCTGAAAAGGACTCTCGGTAATCTTTCTTGAGGGTGTGTAGTACAGTACAGTACATGTACCGACACACATACATGTATGTACACATCCACAATAAAATGACTGGGTATTACAAAAATTAAAAGAATAAAGCAACCCAATTTTACAAGGCAGAGCAATTGCCATGGCTCTTACTTCACATCTAAAAGAAAATTCTAAGGCCAGGCTTATTCCAAAACAGAATTAAATGATTAATAAGATTTTGGTACTAATTTGAGCATTAGAAATTATCCTTATTAAATCATAGTCCAACCTTTAATCCTGCGCAGTTTAATGGATTACCGTTAGCTGGGGGAGGGAGTATTGTAGATGTAAGAGACTATTGTGGATATCTTACCTGTAGGCGCACTTTAGCTGTGTCCAGTGGAAAGGTGATCATATCAGCTATGCATCCTCCCAGCCCAGCGCTGGCCAGCTTCACAGCCACGGATGGTTTGATATCAGTCGGTGGTAGGCCAACCATGATTGGTTCTTGGGCTCAGATCGATGGAAAATTGAACAATCAGAAGTTGCGTTGGATGAATTCAATGATGAATTACCTTGGATGAGGGGATGTTGATGCCGGGCAATTTGATTGGATGAATGGAGGGGGTCATGCAAGGTGAAGGTGATATTGACCAATCAGGAACTCTGTAGCATGGTAGCTAGGTGGTCAATTATTACCACTATTATCACAAGGGAGTTGATTGGTTGATTAATTGGGGACAGTATAAAGAGGACTATAGCATTCTCTCTCAGAGAGAATAATGAATGTGCAAAGGCAAGACAGAACTTGAACTCTGAAAATAGAGAAGAAAATAACAAGAAAAACGGGTAAACTTTTCCACTAACATGACAACATAGCTTGTAAACAAGACATTGATCCTCAAAAGGGAATTCCTAGTCCTACATGTACATGTACATGTATAATGGAGAAAATCAGGCAATGATAATCTTTGGCCTTTTAGTAGCAAAGAATATTGACAATGGTAAATTGACAGTAAGAATAATAAAAATACATAAAGTGAAGTCATAAACAGAGGAGTGTTTAAGCTATTTAAGTGTTTTGGAACTGCCAACGTCTAGAACGTAAGAAAGAAAGAATGCGTGTGACACAGTTTCCCTAGACTCATTTGAGTTCTAGTTCAGATTTTTAAAAACTTGTCTCCTTTTTATATGTTGATCAATTAAATGAGTAATTATTCCATACATTGTATGTGCCTCAAGATGTAACAAGAGTAATAGATCATTAAAAATGATTTGCGTGATATATCATTTGTATAAGCAGTGAAGAATTATACTCACAGTATAAAAAAACATGAAGATCACACACGATATAAATAAATAGCTCCTTCTGTTGAGGTATGTATAATATATAGCTTTCACAAATCTCCTCGCGCACTCATCTGGTTATTGCTGCTCGCTATTACTCGTGTCACAATTAAAAGATTGTTCTTGTTGCTGCGACTGCCTGTGGGCGTCACGCATATCAAAGTCTGTGATTGGTTGCCTGGCGTGGGGGCGTGTCTCGAAAAATCTCGGGGCCATTGGAGGCCAGATGTCGTCCTTATTGGGCAAAAGAATCTGCGGAAAAAGAGGAGTGATTGAAAAATGTGTTAGGCATGTTTCTTTCACTCAAGGATACAAGTGACGGAACTGGGTCCCCAAAATTGCAAAAAAGTAAAGTCTTGCAAACTTCAACTTCAATAGACCAGTTTACAAACATAATCAAATTTTATTTTATTTATTTTATTCATTCATAGCAACCAAAGGGTTGGATTGTATACATTTTCAACATGATTATGAACATTATTAAATTCATTACAATGAAATTGATAAATTATGAATAGATATACAATGTAGATAAAAATACGATTAAAACAACAAAATTTTGTGAGCTAAAAATAAGAGCTGGCTGCCTGTAAGGCGCAATTTTTTGTAAATAGCAGCAAATAATGGATGTTCCTTTCTTGGGGACCTAGTGACGAGCTATTAATGGATGAACTATAATACTTGGAATCCAGTCTGCATACATTTTTGCTGCTTTGTCGGGCAAGCGTTCAGGTTGTCAAGAACAACCTTTGAGTAAAAAGTATGCATAACATTTGAATACCTTAGTAAACCAGTCTATTCAATTTTGGTCTTTCTTGAATACAATGCATTGCAGCCAAAGGTTGAATTGAGCATGTTCACATTGTCTTAAATACTTTTTACACAAGAGATCATAAAAAACCTGAATTATATTGAAAGTTATATTGCATTTACATGTTCAAAATACTGTAGGTATAACAATTTCAAATACATACTACATGTACATTGTATGTACATGTACATGTACAATGTATATTATTGCCATTTATGTATACCCTGTAAGTCAAATGCATTAAAAGGCTACAACTTATAAACAACATTTCTAAAAATACTAGATATTTAACAAAATTGTTTTGCTACTGTCTAATAGAGTAAATATAACAAAAAGTCGGTTACATGTCACAGACTGTATTGAAAGGTACTGTAATTACTAAAAATGTTAAATGATCTTGAAAGTGAAATTAAAAGATTTATATCCAGACTGTATTGCGACATAGTTATACTTATTGCTACATGTACCTAGTAATATTGAACGTTCCAGAGTTCAATATATATATGAACTTTTCTTTCTATTCTTTCTGTTTGACATTTTCCAAAGCAAAGTCAATCTTAGCTTGCATAGAGTGGAGGCAAATGCAGACATGTCCAAAAGAAAAATGAAAGGAAAAGTCTTTGAGCAGGTCAACAGCAAGTTTCACCCTACATAAAGTACAAGCAGGCCTACAGGTAAAATACTATAACAGGTCCATGAATCCATCTCAATGACGCATTCACCAAATCAAATTGTAGTCTTTATCTGCAGACCCTATTAAGTAATTCTAAATGCAAGGGTATTGTACATGAAGAACTGGCTTGGGACTAATTTTATTCTTTCCATGGTCTTTGTGATATATTCAAATATGTTTTCGAGATATTCAGTGGTGAATCTAAAGGGGAATTTACCCCCTAACCCTCCCCCTCTCTCTGACAAACCAATCTGGAACACCAGAGTGCACACGAACTTGAGAAAAAGAAATGTGCTCTTAATGCTCCCTTCCCCCCCCCCCACTCCACACACACACTGAATTTGCCCCCCCCCCCCCTAAAGAGACATCTGAAAAATGTAACAACTTTTCTGCTTCCTTACTGGTCACAGAATGTTCAGACTTGAGCCCCCCCCCCCCCCCCCCCCCACCAGCCCAAACCTGAATCTGCCTTTGACATTATTCTGAAATTGTCACCTTTAGGACATGACTGTAAATTGATTGTCTTGGAAGTACAATCACACAGTACAATTCATGTAAAACAAAAGTAGCTAGGGAAAAAAAGGAAAACGGAATGAGGTGTATGATATGCACAAGGACTCATTGTCAGCGCTTCCTCTTGACGATGACTACTGATTAAACTGATTAGATGTTCAAGTACATCTTGTACAATGCACTTCTGTTGTTGACATTCACGATAAATACCGGTAGGCTAAGTCAGAGATGATCAAAATGATGGATAACTGCCAAGTGATGTCACAACAGGTTAAGTGTATAAGTTATCAGTATTGAAGATGATATGAAAATTGATGACATATATTTGAAGAGGCTTTCCCGGCCTTGACTGACTCACTCTCAGACAGGTAATAACCTGCAAAGTGTTTCAGAAGGTAGACTAGTCAAAAACCAGTTCGGACTGGATCTTATTTGTCGCTTACTTCTCATTAACTGCTCAGGTCATCGAGGGGACCATTTGCGGATATCAACAAAAAAATCCTTTTCCTCCAGAATAAAGGCTTGTTCATATATGACAAACATGTGTTGTGTATATAAGATGACGTAAAGTGTCATACGCTTCGCTCTTTTGAATCTTATATTACAGAGCTCAACAAGTCCTCTGTTGCGCACAGGTGCCATTCATTTGACCAGGGCTCTACACTAACAGGCGCCCGGACACCTGGGCGCCCAAAACCCAAGCCCGGACCAACCTAAATTTGACATTTTCACATAGGTATCATAATACAGAACCGTAAAAAAGTCAATCCAGACCCCCTTCCAAAAAAGTTAGTAGTGTGGAGCCCTGATTTTACACATAAGAAAATGCAGCTGCTTTTTACCATGCCATAAGCCTGCTTTTTTTTAAACATCACTTTATTGTTCAGAACTTGCACAACAAAGGAGAACAATAGCCCAGGACAATTCCATTTTACTGGAAAATGCAGGGCATTAAAAGTACATACATGTAGAAATACAGTGAATAATGTTATGTAACATCAACAAAAAATTTACTTATTTTACAACATAGTGAAAGCTGAGGAGTTATGGATATTCCTAGCTAAAGATGAAATAAGAGGAGCTAAATATTGAAATTTCATTTGATATATCAACTTAATAAATACGAAGCATACATAATGAGTATTATAAGAGTTTGATTTGAGTTAATGTTTAATACAAGAGGATTCTATCAGTGCCAGGCAATGAAAAGAGGCGAGCAGTAGAAAGAAAATATAAGACTGGTTACAAGGTGTATTAACCAATGTGTGTGTGTGAGTAATTACATACTTGAAATGCGAAGGGGAATTTTGGTTTCCCATTTATTGGCATTCTTTGAGTAGTAGATGACAAACGAAGAAACAATAGATAGTTTGGATAGAGTCTGTCGAACTTGTTTCAAATTGACAGGTTTTCCAATTTCTTTCAACAGCTGCTTTAGCCTCGTCACATTGTCCGGCGAAATATGACCTCTAGAGCCGATTTCCAAAGGAAGATACACCACAGAATATCCATTAGCCTGTATATCGGCAACTAACGGGGCATACTTGTTCGATTTATATTCATGTGCCTTAACAACATTCATTTCAAAGGGAACTGACAATTCAATTATGAGGATTTTCTTTAAGTTCTTCCAAAAAACACAAATGTCTGGGATGAGGTTGGTTTGGGTACACTCTAGTGGAATTGTGGAGATGCCTTCTTTTGTCCATCGCTCTACTTTCAGGTCTGTGTACATAATAGTGTCGCGAAGAGAGGCGATGCCTTCTTGAATAATTTCGGCAAGATACGAAAGTATGTTGTCATGGCGCCAAGTATAGCGTCCCTCGTCAAGTGACACAGGGCATGCGTTCAATACATGGTGTACTGTTTCTCTATTTTCACATTTTTTACAGTTTGCTGATGCCCTTTTACCCCATCTAGTAAGGTTTGCATTCGTATTGAGTGTATCTGAAAGCGAATTCATGAGAAATTTTGCAACTTTGTTGGGTAGGTTGTATATCAGGCTTTTCCATTCTACTGATTTTGATTCCAAGTTTGCAAGTTCAAAAAACTTGCCTTGGACTGAAAGTGACTGGATATGATTCAGCCAGTCCTGTGACCTTTTTTGTACTAGAGAGTCTTTAACCTGTTTCTTCAATTTTGGAAGAGTGGCATTAGGGTCTTGAAGCGATTGAAAAACATTATGACTATTCACCACTGTTGACTTTTTTCTGGTCCACTGAGATTCTCTTTGAAGGGCAACATCTAAGCAATGATTAACCTTAGCATCACCAGTTGCTCTTATTCTTGTGTAGTTTATTGTGTGAGCTTCATAGTATAGATCAGAAATGTTGAGTATGTTAAGACATTCTGGCATATGAAGGAAGGCCAACGTGGCCGGTCTGGCAAGGCCAGACCATTTTTTCAAGTATCTATTGCATAAAGCATCTAGTAGTTTTAGATGAGTATCAGTGAGCTCATTGACTGTGAGGTGGAATCTCAGTGATGGCAGAAAATAGTCAGCAAATACTTTCAGTTTGAATTCATTACGTACCAGAGCTTTATCAATATTTGTAACACCGACTTCAATCATTGATTTTACATACTGATATTTATCATCTGATGAGTTGTCATACGATACAAGTGAACCTAGAAATTTGAACTCTTCCGTTTTGAGGGTTTCAAGTTCGATATTATCTAAGTGAAATTTCAAGTCAGTTGGTGAACCTCCAGATATTGAAAGGGTTCTACACTTTCTCTGTTTCAATTTTAAGCCAAGCGATGAAGTTCGACTAGAGATTGTATTCATGAGTCGTTGATGGGTTCTCTTATTACCTGTTATTAAACAAAAATCATCTGCAAATGGTGCAGTGATGAGCTTTTGGCCATCTAGCTCGTATCCCAATCGGCTGTTTTCCGACAGAACTTCAATTATTGGATTGAAGCAAAGGAGAAAAATTATCGGCGATAACGGATCCCCTTGGAATATGCCCTTTTTAAAACGAAACTGTTGTGAGTTCCATTCTTTAGTCGAAACAAAACCATTAAGGGAAGAGTACAGGTTCATGACATAATCATAATTACAGTAATTCATGTAAGCATTTCAGTAGTTAATGTGTTTATAGCAATCCATGTCTTATGATATTCATACATGAAGATAAAATCCTCCGTTTAGAGCCATAAGAGATTTGACTAGAAAAAATGATTTTAAAAAAGATCTTTAAACTGAAGAATTTTTTTAAATATTGAGTTACCTTGATTCGCACGGATATCTTG